TCGCGCCCTGGCAGCGGCGCCCTCCCAGCCGTCCGCAATCGCCCCGACCAGCACCTTTCACCCCTCTAGGCCACCTCTCCCCACCGCTCCTCATCCCCCATCTTCCTCAGTTGCCCCCTGCCTGGCCCCACGCAGACAAACTCCCAAACCTTGGCTCCAGGTGGGCACCCCAGCCGAGCCCACCAGCAGGCCGCCTCCCCGGCGCCCTCCCTCCCGGCCCTCCGCTACCCGGGTCCTTACTCGAACATGGATGCGGCGCGGCGGGCGCGCCCAGCCGAAGGGCAGGGCCGGGCCGGCTCGGCGGGGCTGGGCTGAGCAGGGCTGGGCTGAGCAGGGCTTCCCCGCAGGGCACCGGCCTCGCCTTCCCCGGCCGCAGCCCCCTCCCGACCCCGCCGCCCGCACAAAAGGCCGGCGCCTCCGGAGGCCGCCGCCGCCGCGTCAGAGACACCCCCTTCCTGCCCCCGCCTGGTTGCGTCACGGCGCCGCCCCCAGGCCGGGAGGGGAGGAGGAGGAGGGAAGGACCGGCCGAGGCAGGGGAGGGGCGGCGGGGAAGCTGCGGAGGCCCAGCAGAAGAAGGGAGGGTGCGGATAGAGTAAGGGATAGCGAAAGGGAGAGCGCGAAGAAGAGACTGAGAGACGGAGCGCGAGAGACGCTGGAGTGAGAATTAGCGGTACCGCGACCTGGGGAGCAGGCAGTGCGGGTGCAGAGAGCCTGGGCGAAGGCGGGAGGGGCGGCTGGAACGGAGGGAGGGGCAGGGCCAGAGACAGCGCGCCAGAGAGAGGAAGGGAAGAAGAGGAGAGGCAGAGAAATGAACACAGAGATAGAAAGAAATAAAGAGAAAAACCGGGAGACTGTTTAAAAACCACCACCAAAGAACACCGTGATGGCAGCTGCCTTGGCACAGGCTGGGAGTCCTGTCCACTGGCACCCAGAGAGGGGTCTCCAACTATGCCCCTGGCCAGGGGCTTCCCGGCCTCCCAGGCAGGAACCTGTGAGATTAGGAGGTGGGCTGGAGTTGAATGGATATGGATGGTGGGGCTATGGTGTTGAGAGGAGGACCAAGGGTGGAACCGAGGCAGGAGGAGAAAAGGGGCGGGGGCAGTACACCAGATCCCTCCCTCCCCCTTCCCCAGCTTTAGAGCCTCAGCTCCTGGCCCACGAGGTCCCAGTTTCTGGGTCTGCCCGGACTGCCCAGTCCCCCTGTCGGCTCAGCCAGACCACATTAGAATCCAGCTCTTATCCCCGCTGTGACCTTGACAAGTCATCCCAGCCCTGGGAACCCCACAAACTGTGCTGAGAGAGCTTTTTTGGGACAGAAGAGCAGAGGAAGGTCTCATCAGCCCGTTTTACAGAGGGGGAAGCTTGGCCCCAAAGCTGAGAAGTGACTTGCAAGGTCACCCAGTAGGTAGGCTGCAGAGTTGGACCCCAGACCTGTGCCTGGCTGGTCTCTGAGGTCACTATTGAGTCTGTTGGTGCCCTGAACTCCTGCCTGAAAATGCTAAGATGTAAGCACCACCTCATGGGAGCTCTGGTAGCATAGTGGCTAAGACACTTGCCTGCTAACCAGATGGCTGGCGGTTCAAACCCACCAGCCACTCCTCGGAAGGAAGGTTGGGCAATCCTACTTCCGTAGTGATAACTGCCTCGGAAACCCAAGGAGGGGTCGCTATGAGTCGGGGCCGACTCGACGGCACATAACAACAACAACAACAACAAGCACCACCTCACAGCTCTTGGGTCCCCATAGGGACAGCCCCCACCCCCAACACAGGAACTTGCTTCCCATACCTCCCCCAGGGCAGACTGTCCCTATCTCTGGGGGGGGGGTACTCCATTCCCCACCCCATCCCCTAAAAAACACCCCTCACTTCTCCATTTTGGTCAGTAGCTGCTGGTAGTGTCCTTCCAGCTTCTCAGGCTCCAAAGCTCTGAGTTGTCCTTGACCCCACTCCTTCCCTCACACCAATCAATATCCAATCTGTCACCAAACCCTGTAGGCTCCACCTCCAAAATCTAAGCAGAACCCAAACTCCTCTCCCCATCCGCTGCCCTCACCCTGGTCCCATCTTCATTGCCCCTAACCCCCATCAGAGCTGCTTCCTGCCTGATTTCTCTCTTCCTGTCTGCCCCACAACCAGGGGCCATGAACTCCTGAGGCAGATCAGGGGTCCCCTTGGCTCAAAACCTTCCCCTGGTAGCACCTGTTCCAAGTAAAATCCGAAGACCTCACCACAGCCCTCAAGGCCCTACTGATCTGGCCTTTGTCACCTTTTTGACCTCCATTTCCCCCTCAGCCATTCCTGTCCAGCCACCCAGCCTCCCTGTGGTTCCTCTAACACACCAGGCACATTCCAGTCTCAGGGCCTTTGCACTTCCTGTTCCCTTGCATGGAAAGCTCCTTCCCCAGATCTTCGCAAGGCTGCTTCTCACCCTCAGATCTCAGAGAGGCCCTCCTTCCACGTCTCCTTCTGCCCACTAGTCTCTTCCTCTTTTCCTGTTCTTTTGAAAAGCTTTCATGTTTTTAGTTAAGGAGTATTTCTTTTAAATAGGAAAACATATAATGATGCTCGTTTATGTTCCCATTGACCATCGGTGACAGATGAGGGCATTTTGTCATTGTTACTTCAGATCTTAAAAGAAATTCTTTAAAAGAATTAAACTATTCTGGCACCCACAAAATGATCAAGGCAACAGAAGACTCTGGGAAGAGCACAAAAGTTGAAGGCAACGTAAGTAAACACTATTGCACACAAAATCCTTCAAAGCAGTAATAGCAATAATTGAGGAACAGATACATAGATAATCAAGCTGAACAGAGGTGGGAAGGCGAGTGGGACTACACCTGTGCATATATGTATGTAGTCTGACAGAGGATATTTCTACATATGTGTTCATATGTGCTGCAAATATATCCATGAATATGGTGGAACGCACAAGGGGCAAAGTAATGAAAACTTCTCAGCCAGAACCAAACACCTTGAGGGAACGAGTTGCTCGGCCTGGAGGCTCAGGACCCTAGTCTCGGGGGACAATAAGGCCAACTGACACAACGTAGCCCACAAAGACAATGTTGTCCATCCTGCTTTGGTGAGTAGCAACTGGGGTCTTAAAAGTTCGTGAGCAGCCCTTAAGGGACAACTGTTGGTCTCTCCTTGTCCAGAGCAAAGAAGAGTAAAGAAAGTCAAAGTGAAGAGTGAAGAAAATCAAAGATATAAGGAAATAATCAGTCTAAGGGACTAGTGGGCCATGTGAACCCTAGCCTCCAGGACCCTGAAGCCAAAAAGAACTAGATGGTGCCCGGCTGCCACTACTGACTGCTGTGAAAGGGATGACAATAGGAGATCCCAGGATAGAGTGGGAGAAAAAAATGTGGAACAAAACTCAAATTCATAAAAGAAAGACCAGGCTTACTGGTTTGATAGAGCCTGGTGGAACCCCCAAACTATGGTCCTTAGACATCCTTCAAGCCTGGCCCTGAACTCACCCCAGTGGCTCAGGTTTCAGCCGAATAATAGACAGGCCTATAAAGGGAACAAGAACACCAGGGAGGTACCCACTCCTTAGAACCGTCAACCGTGTGAGATCCAAAGGGCAGCATTTGCCCAGAGGTAAAGCTCAGAAGGCAGGAAGGGATGGGAAAGAAGGACAAAGGGAAACGGTAAACACCTGGAGGAAGGGGGCAGAGTGCTGTTACACTGTGGCGATTGCTATCAATGTCACAAAACGAAATGTCTGTCAATTGTTGAATGGAAAACCAATTCGCTCTGTAAACTTTCACCCAAATCACAAGAAAAAATAACTATTTTTTTTTAAATTTTTTTTTTATTAGGATTTGGGTGAAGATTTACAGAGTAAATTCACTTTTCATACAGCAGTTCACATATACTTTGTCTCATGTCATTGACCAAAATTTACAATGCAGCAGCTCCCCTCCCACTTCCTCCCCATAGTTACCTCCTCCCAGTGTCCATCCCTTCATACTCTTCTGCACCCTGAGCTATCTCCCTGTGCATAAGCAGCCCTTCCTTCTCCCATGATTAATAACTATTTTTTTAAGAAAGAACTAAACTATTATAGCCCAAATCCCAGCTATCATCCCTCATTTCTTGGACCCTGCCCCTCCAGGTGCCCCATGTCCTGAAGTTGCTGTGTCCTTTCTGTGCATAAAGCTATCCTTTTTCTACATCAGGATGCATTCGCCAACAATATCCTATTGTTCAATGTCCTTTAAAAAGCTACACAACGAGGCTCCTACTGTATCTTTTTGCCACTTAGTTTCTTCACCATAGTTATTTCTGATATTTCTCCATGTCACTGCATGGAGATCTACTTCATAAACTTTAACTCTTGTTCCATTGTTGGAAGAAACCATAGTGGATTTTTCTGTTCGAGGACACAGTCATTGTTTCCTTTCCCCCTGTGGCCTTAAACCTTCCACTTTCTGTCTCCTTGTGCTCAAGGGACCATTTCTTCGCAGAAGTTCTGTTTAAATCAACTTTTTTGGCCCATAAGCCACTACAGGAAATGCCTTTTTCATTGGCTGCCAGGACACACTTAGACATATATGTAATGCCACAAAAGTTGCAGGAAACCACACTTGTTCTCACTCTGCCTCATATACTCTCGTTATGTTCAATTCTATCCTCTTGCAGTTTTTTTTTTTTTTTTCTTGCGGGGGGGTGGGGGTTAGTGCTGAGCACAACCCAGTACATTGGTTTGTCACAACCCACAGTTTGAAAAACACTGGGTGGGTTAAAGGCAGTCTTCACCTTCAGCCTGAATAGCAGTGCTCAGCTAAGCTCATAGTCATTCCGACATAAACTTCCAGTTGCCTGCTTTTTGTGCAACTATTTCATGACTTCCAGGCCCCTGTGGGGCTAAGGCCACATTCTAGCTGACCTGCAACCCCCCACCTGACAGAGACAGACACATGGAACCCACCCTCAGACTTGAGTCCCCAGTGAGAGAGCATGTTTCCCATCCCACTGCCAGGGTCTGACCTGTCCTCAGCCGAACTCTCCAGATCCGCCATCCTTGATCGCTGGAGGTGCTGGGGAACTGGGGTACCGGGAGGTGACTCCCCATCACTGGATGGTGTTATGAGAATGGAAGGCACTTCCAGGAGCTTCCAGGGCTCAGGGTGCAGGCCCTGGGCCTTGCCACCCCGTGGTTGCTGCCTCTGCCACTTGTCTAGGGAGATAGGTGAGCTCTGGGCGATGCCTTGGCCCACTGGGGTTGCCCAAGGCAGCAGGGGCAGGAAGTCAGCCATGGGGAGGCCTCTGCCTGTCCCATCAGGGTCCATGGCCAGCAGTGAGGCTTCTGAGGGAGAGAAAGAAAGATGGGAAGAAGAGAGCTCTGTTCAGGTCCAGGCCCTCCCCACCTTCCCTCTGCTCCTCCGGAAAGAAGATGGATGTGCCAGGATTCGGAGCACAATGCAGAGGTCACAGAGATCTGGATGGAATTCCCACCTCTGCCAACATCTTCCCTTTGTGACCCCGAGCCTCAGATTCCTCCTCTGGAAACGAGTTCCCAACCCCGACATCCTGGAGCTGCAGAGCAGCCAGTATGGCAGCAGGTACCCGGGAACTGCTCCGGGAAGGTCTCCTCGTGCCCTGAGCTGGCTCAGTCTCCCCGGGCCGTCACCAAGGCTGTGTCCTGAGGCTTCTACGTGCCCCCACCTCACTCATCTCCCGTCCACAGAAAGCCAGGAAGGAGCCAGGCCAAGTGGGCCTCGAAGGTTGGTCAAGGGATGATGGGAGGCAGACTCGAGGATTTCCCCTTCTTGTGTGCTCAGCCCCTCCCAAAACAAACAAAGGAAAGGTGGCCAGACTGCAGCCTCCTTGGTCTGGGAGGAAGCCAGGCTGGTTCCGGTGGCTGTCGCTATGATAATGGAGGCTGTTTGGATCTGGGAAGGCCACACCAGAGTCTGTCCTCAGAGCTGAACACAGCAAGGCCTTCTTGGTACTTAGCTGCCTGAGGAATATGGCAAAAGGGCCTGTAGGACCCAGAGAAGGTCTCCTCTGGTTTGGGGAAGACCATGGTCCCCAGGACCTTTCCCAGGCCCCTAATACTCCTACCTTTTGGGTTCCTCTTCTTTTTTTCACAGGGTTTGGACTTCCAGGGTAGAGGTAGGCATGCCTTCCCCCAGGAGTCCTGGCTAGACTGGAGAGTCATGACCTTGCAGGCCAGAATAGCATGTCTGGCCGGAGTCTTGTTACCCTCTGGCCAGCTGTTCCTGGGAGAAATGCAACAGAGTGTGTGCAGGGGGTGGGGATGGGGTGGGGTGGAGGTGCTCACATCAGGAAGGAAGGTGAGGAAGGACCATCTCCCTGTTTCTTTCTTGACTCGCCCCAGGCCTTCACTGGTCTGTCACTCACGTTGGCCTGCAGCCAACCACATGTACCTTGTGTGCCCACTCTCCCTCATAACCGCTTGTCCAAATTCAGAGATAACCACTAGGTGGTCAAACCCAAGACATTTTCCAGTCCTCATCTTCCGTCACCACTCAGCAGGCCTGAACCTGGAAACCCCTGCTCTCTTGGCCTCTATGATGCCACAATTTCTGGTCTCCTCCCATCTAATAGCTCCATTTCACGTGTTGTGCGCAGCTCCTTTTCCTCTGTCTGGTCTGTGAAAGCTGGTATCTTCAGTTCCCTAAGGCTCAGGTCTAGACACTTTTCTCCCAGCTTTCATTTTTATTATATAATAATTGGTATGTATTAAAGTGTGTCCATAATACAGATAAAAAGGAGTTCTAGTGGCATAGTGGGTAAGACATTTGGCTGCTAACTAGAAGGTTGGTAGTTCAAACCCACCAGCTGCTCCAGAGGAGGAAGATGACGCAATCTACTTCTGTAAAGATTTACAGCCTTGGAAACTCAATGGAGGTCGCTGTGAGTCAGAATTGTGACTCAATTCTGTTAGTGGAGTTTGATTTTGTTTTTGCTGTTATAGATGTTACCCACTGCCATAGAGTTGGATCTGATTCATAACGACCCCTCCTTGGATTTCCGAGGTGGTATCACTATGGAAGTAGATTGCTCAACCTTCCTTCTGAGGAGTGGCTG